CAAACATTTCAAAGAGCATAGAATATGATTTACTTATTCAAATATTTATTCGCAGAATTTAAAATGAAAACAAATACCTGTCACCTAAGATATTGTGAAATAAAAAGCATCTGTGCCATCGCTTTGGTGAACACCTCAGTGTGTTCGGACTGGGCGTTCACCACAGTTTTCTGCAGGCCTTCGGCGAGACGTAGCACTGCCGCCACTTTAATCGCACAAGCTCTTCTGCCTTCACTTGAACTCCTAAAGCTGCTCCTAAAACATCAGCCGCCTCAAGTCAAAGGCCGCCATCACTGCCGCAGCCACAAGAGCCACGATGTTGTAGAGCGGGTTAGCTGTGATGCCCAGGCAGGAGTTACAGTAGGGCCAGTCGCAGCAGGCGTAGCTCATGGTGTAGACCGTCCCTTTGATGCTGATGTTGTGCTTCTGGCTGCAGTCATCTTCCAGCATGCAACCCCTGGCCGACAGGGCGCTGTGGTTGCCGTAGCGACCTTCTGCCTTGAAGCAGTGCTCGTTAGGAGGACACTCTGTCACGACCAGTTCAAATGTCTTCCCCTTCTCCAGCATGGGGCTGTAGTAGCAACGCAAGTTGTCACAGAGCAGCGAAGGGAGAAGAAAGTAAAACCAGAACACGGCAACGAGCAGGAGCTGCAGCATGGTGGGCCTGCAAGGACAAGAGAAGCTTCTGGTAACAGTTTGAAGCACATGGGCTACTAATGCAGATGATTGATTTTCCATGCAGTTAGGACAAAGTAGTATTCAAAATTATTTCTTCAGCTGCTTTAGTTCCCAAAACCGCCTTGATGGCATCTAGACTCCTCCAGCCTTGTATTTAAATGCCTTTATTTTCAATTTCACTTCCCTGGATTGCAACTTGCTGTTAAGCTTCAGCTGTCTCCAAACTAGAACTAATTACCTCAGACTGAGAAAGCTGCTCCAGAATCTTAAAACAGAAACAGTTTTCATGCACTCCGCAGTCCTCCCTGTGACTAATATGCTGTCTTAACTTTGACATTAAAGTCAGTGAGTCATCTTTTACCACTTGTCATGCTTCTGATTCATGATTTTCTCCTTTCGAGAACCTTAATGCCAAGCTAAAGAAAGGTTTGACCTTTTCTCAGCCGTGCTCAGGTGTAAGTGATTTCTACTGATGGTCCCACTTTATGTGCTCAAGTTTTTGAAGAGACAAAGTGATGGTACAAACTAATGTGAGATTTAACAAACACTCACCTGATCATCTTAAAGTTTCTAAATCCAGTCAGAACTTTTCAGAGCTTCTCCCGATGAGCTCTGATCTCATTACTGATTGCAGATCTTCCTAAAGAGGCCGCACCTTCCAGCACACCTGCTTGCAAAACGCACACGGAGTAACTACACCAAGTGGGAGCTTAATTGTGGTGCTTTTATTGTGCTGTGTTCATCTGTAGCCACAGACATCCAGGCAGCATTTACTACAGTATACAAGGAGGATGGTTGACTAGACCACCTTCGTCTATCAGCCGCATAAATGTCTTCACACAAAACACCAGGATGCAGTTTTTCCTTATTTGCACAATAATTTAACTACAATAATTTAAAAAGTAAAAAGTTCAAGCATGCAAACATTAGACAAAATGTTAGTCACTTTTTGGAGAATTGGGTTAGTACCTCTGTCTAATAGGTCTCTCCCTGTCTTCACCACTGGAAACACTCATGATTTAGTTGCAGCTGCTCTTGAAGTATAATTTGCACATGAATCCCAAGGCTCCTCCCTGAGAACATCAGCCATGTTGTCATGATCAGTTTTTGCTGCCATCATCCCCAGCAGCTTCTTCAGGTTGGCGTCAGATTTGGGCTCGGCGTTACATTTGTCTTTACAGCAGCAAGTGTGGCTCACATTGTATTCGACTCCCCGGTACGAGACCATTTCATGGGAGCCGCAGAGTTCACGACTCAGGCAGCCCTGAGCGGACAAGACGTGGATGGAACCGTAGCGGCCCCTGGAGCTGGAGCAGCGCTGGTCGGGCAAACACTGGCTGGTGGTGTTTGTGCAGGGTTTGCCTTTGTGCTGCAGGGGACAGTAGTAACACAGCAGGCTGTCCAAAGCGAGAGCTGGGAGGACCAGAGCCGTGAGCAGCAGGATGGAGGTCAGGAACCAGCATGGACCCAACAGATCCACACTAATGTAAATCCACACATACACAGGTAAATGATACAGATTAATTCTTCAGCTAAGGCTTTTATGGATTTCAGTTGTTTGTGTGCATGTTGTTCACCTTCTGTTTCTTTGTGATCCCATCTTCCCAGATGTTAAAGCTGTGTCAACCTGAGGAAACTTAAAAACCAGCAAACCCTCTGATTACCAAGCAGGAACAGGTGTGTCTTTAAAGCTCTTTTATACATAATTAGTGAAATACACACACAACACCAGTAGCTTTGAAACTGAGCTTTAGTCTTCATTTTATTTCCCAGAAATCCTCAAACATCTTGACTTGTCCTTCAAAACACTTTGACCAGTCTTTAAATTAACACAAAAAAAAATTCAGCTGAGGCAAAAGACAGGATTGCAGCGCCATCTGGTGTCGGAACATGTCATGAAGAAAGAAAAAAAAAAAAGAAGATCCATTCACGTGTAGTTTTAAAACCTTAAGAAGCATCCAGGCTACTTTTATAGCAAGCATTAGCACCGTAAGTCTCTGCTGTGCAACATGTACAAGAAGAGTTATTTCCTTGTTTGTTGGACGCTTTCTTCTTGATCGCCTCCTCATGTTCCGTATGCAGAGGTAAAGGAGAGCTGTGCATCTTTGTACAAAGGTTCCTGTGAAGAAAATCAAATTCTGCATAAGCTGTAGTTGTCATTGCTACACATGCATATGGTTTGAAATGTATGTATTTCTACTGACCACACTGAGGTACACCTCTACATCAGAAGCCAATACAGTTCAGCACAGCAGCACCGCTATAACAGCTACTGTTGTGAAGCTGGTAATGTGTGGGTTTTTTTTGGGTGATATTATTGGAAATTTGCAAATTCTATTTTTTGTGGTCGAAAATAGTACTAAATATGTAAAATAGTACAGTTAGATGTGTTGTATATCGCTACATTAGTGCTTTGTTTACATCTTTTTTCGATTTGCGTCTCATTTTTTTAAATTATTTTTCTTTTCTCATTGCTTTTTAATGTCAGTCTGTCATTGAGAAAGATGGTCTCCCCACAATGATCTCTTGAGTATAAATAAAAGGTGAATGGAAAAACTGAATAACGATTAAGGTGTGCTTTCCCCACCCACACACCAAGCACATGTATAAATAGTGTATGGTGTGTGTGTGTGGGAGAGAAATAGGAAGAAAAAAAATAGAAACACTTCTTTATTTAGTAATTTAGCACTTTGAACCTTTCACATCACTGCATAATCTAATTACAAAAACGATCATCATGAGCTTTGTATAGAAAGATGTAATGGCAGTGCTGCTATACTGGAGTGAATCTGACAGAATAAATTAGAGTTGTGTTGGGTTTAGTTGTCGTTTATTGTTGTTTCTATCCCTCTAAACTGAGCTTTAGTTGTTTTCTTACAGTTAGCTCCTCCTCCTCCCCGTCCATCCTGCCAGCGTCGCCCCAGTCGTCCTGTTCCTCTGTAGGGTCGTAGGTGTACATCGGAATCAGCCTGTGGCGCAACTCATCTAATCTGAGGAAGAAAATTAAAACTAATTGTGACAGAACATAAAAGCTAAATTGATCTTAAGATGCTGCTTAAACAGCAGAAGCCGGCTTACCTCGATCTCCTCCTGATGTAACAAACCTAAAGAGAGACACAACGTCAGACACGTGACCTAAAATGCATTTGTTAGATCAACTACAGTGTGACAGCCAGAAAAAACACCCTTACCACTGCCACTATGCATCCAACCAGTGTGAGCAGAACGAAGGGGATGAGTACGTAGTAACCAGGAAATTCCGGTTTGTTGTTTGGGGGTGAAATATTGGGAGTCGTGGTGTTCAAATGCTCCATCTCCTCGTTCACGGGCTGCTCTGTGCACCTCTTCTGACGCCTACGTGACACATTCAGTGGAGAGCCGCTGCCGTCATTCCCACTGAAAGGTTTTGATGGGCTTTCTTAACCCCAGGGTGACTCGTAATTAGTGCTACAGCAAAGCACAGTCTACTAAGAGATCCAAGAAACAGTATGTAAGTCTTAAAGAAGTGTAAGGCCCTCCAACATCCCCCAACTGAATAGCCATTTAATCTTACCTTATGTGTGGAGTACGTGGATACACATTTCCTCCGTGCTTCCTTCATTAATCTTATATAAGACACACTTAAAAGAAATACAGCGCTCACATACCTCAACCTGCTCAATGACATTCCTGAGTGAGGAGTGGATTGGATGTAGGTGGCTGAAGCAGTGCAGTGGATGTGTTTAGCCCTCCTATTGTCTTTGGGGTCAGTGTGACCCCATTCAGTGTTTAACATCTCTACATAAGTCACTGACATCATTTTATCAGTTTTATTTAAAAGGGATATTTACACATAAACGTGGGTGACAATTTTAATTATGATATTTTGTGGAGGTTTAAATAGCTGGGGTCAAATCGAACCCAAAGATAAAAGATGTCAGTAAATTTGAAGGTAATAGGAGGGTTAATTGTTTTGTTTTTTTTCCACACATATCGTGCTGTGCAGAGGTTTTAGACACTGAAAGTAAAAAGAGGATGTTTTCACAAATTGTCGGTATCTATTTGCATCACACAAAGTGCAGTAGACACAAAAAGAGCCTAAATATCTGTGATTCACTGTGTTTAGTGGGCGATTGCTCACCATTTTCTCTGTACATTTATATTTAACTAGAACTAGTGTATTTATCTGTGCAGCCACAACACGTAAATGTAATGTTAAGTTTTCTCCAGCAGAGGGAAAGTTCCTGTTATTGTTGTGGATGGCAGGAAAGGAGAAAGGGGGAGGGACAGTGGGAGGGGTGAGGGAGCACAGAGAAACCTTTCTAAATCTTGTACAGGTTTAACTTGCTGAGCATGGCTACGTTCAAGGAGTCACCTCGACACGGCATTGGACTCCAGATAACAGAGCTTTCATGGTAAGTTTGTTTAAAAAACAAAAGAAATCTAATAAATTAGAAATAAAACTCATCACTTTGTTAAAGATCTATCAAAAGCTAATCTTAAAGTGTAAACTGATAATATGCAGACTGCTTTGAGATGTGAATGTGAGCTCCTCAGAGATCTGACTAATGTATTCAACATCTTGCCAGGCTTGATTTTAGTTTTGACTGAGCCCAGTTTTAATTGCAGTTAATGTGTAAAAGTGGAGCTTCAAGGCATAATGTCATGATAATGCTGTTTTTAAAGATGCCTGTCGGTCATGTTTCACTTACAATGAAGCAACACAGCATTCCAGGGGCAGCTACTTATATTTTCGTCATGCCCCCATGTATGATGACAATAAAGTCATTCTATTCTATTCTCTTCTCTTCCCACAGATTTAGTGGCGCGCTCTGCTACATTTCCTGTTAAGATTTGAAAGCTTGTTAATAATTAGACCAACAGAAATCCTCCAGCTCAGTTGAACTCAGTCATAAAACAGCTTGTTTGTACTGCCTGCAATAAGTCACACACACAAATGAAGTTGAGCTATAATGTCATTGTTCTTTGTAATGGTTCTTTACTCTGCTTTGCTCTGAGGTGAGATAGTGTGAAACTCCACCATCCACGACCACTTGTACGAAACTTAATGGATCCTCCTGGAAGGCGACACGCAGCGATCCAAAGACAAGATGCCAGCGCCACCGATCTCCCCATGCCTCTGACGGCGGATCTACAAGACATGCACCTTTACGAGTACCCTGATGTCTTCCCTGGCAGTGACGAGGAGCATCTGTATGAGAGCACCTTGTCTGGGCTCATTTCGCCCACTGAACCCAAAGGTCCTGTCTTGGCTAATGGGGAAGGACGAGGTGCTCGGACTACAAACCCACCACAGAGCACCAACGGTCCTCCCGTTCCGCTCAGATCCAGGGCACCCACCCCACCTCTGCCCCCCAGACAAGGCCGTGCGCCCCCTCCTCTTCCTCCCAGGACGCATCCGCCCCTCAACAGTTACAAAAAGAGGTTTTCCTGTGTCTTCCCTGAGCCTGTTAACAAACTGAATCGTACCAGCACAGTATCAGACAATCATGTGAGTATCTGTTTTTTTTTCCCCCTCAGTGAAGACAAAAAAGCTCTTTCATGAGTAAATAAAACGCAAATTAAAAGCGGAAGAAAACAGATAAAAGACCAGATTGTGCTATGTGTGTTATTTTCCACATCAGGATCCATGGGCCATCAGGCTCGTAGACACTCCGGAGGGCAGCACCAAGAGGGTGGCTTTTTTTTGTGCTGCAGTTTCCCAGTAAGACAATGAACAGGAATACATTATATTGTTGACATGCGAATGAGAAAAATATAAAATACTGTCCATATTTGTTTAACATATCCAACTGAACTCATTGGATTATTAAATGTCATCTCCAGTACACTATAGTGTTCTTTTTGCCATATATGTTGCTAGTGGGTTCTCTGCACTTCTCTACATTTTTGTCATACTTTCACTTTCACACTGACAACTTGTTTTTCTTTGCTCTTTCCGGCAGGCTGATGTCACGGTACAAACACACAGACAGTGTTCACAACTCCGGCGTGGTATGGGGTCGAATTTCACACGTCCACCTTGCTCTGCTGCAACAGGTGGAGGTGACGGTCAGTGTAGCCACAGACTGGGACAATAATCAGCTCCCCTTCCCCACCTCTGGTAAGATGTCTTTGTCCTGTACAGATAACATAATTACAATAATGTGTAATCTGCGGCGGGTGAGAAAATAGATATCAAGCAATATAAATGACTGCCAGTAAAAAAAAAAAAAAAAGACAATCCTTATGACCTTGAAAAGAAAAAACTGTCTCCATGATGACTTATCAACAATGAGGCAAGCAGCTCTGGCCAACTGGCAAAACCTCCCTAGACAAAGCATTCTGTGGACAATAAAGACATAATAAGTCATAATATAATAAGTCAGGAGTCAGATAAGGGTTTCTGTCTTTGTCTTATGTCTGTTAAAATCAGATGATATGTAACTGACAAAGCTGTAAAGTGCCACTGTAGACTGAATGTTGTTTGAAATGGCACACCTTTTGATCCATGCTGCTCGTGCATTTCGGTATCTTTCATTCCCAGTAGCTGTTGGCAGAAGTGTGTGGACTCTGAACTCTAGTCTTGTTTTTTTTTTTGTTTTTTTTGCAGTGAACAGGACAGTAAAGAGTCTGATTGATGAAATCTTCCAGCTGCTGGACCTCACTCCCATCGCAGGTGGACATTATGTATTAAAACTGTGTGACTCTGAGGAGTATCTCAGAAAGTAAGTTTCTCGCTGTTTTTGTCACTAATCAAGACATTTAGAACTGCTTATCTTAAGTTATTACATTCCAGTTGTTTCATTTGCTGTGCTGTGCTCTCTCTAGTGACGAACTGCTGGGTATGCACGAGACAATTCAGATCTACTCCAAGTTTAAACTAGTCGTGCCTCTGCGACTGCTCCACGTGAACAAACTCAAACACGAGCTGGCCAGAGATGTAAGTCGGTTCAAATTTCCTCTTGGTTCCCTCCTACAGTCCAAACTATTTACCATAAAGGAGTGGCCTTGTCTGGCTTCACAAACACCTGTGCTTGGCCCCGGGCCAGCTCCTTATCATCAGGGCTGTTGTAGCTGTAAAAACCTCCACCCTGTCTTCTTGACTTTGTTCTGTTTACACATAACGTCATGACTGGTGGCATTTAAAAGCAAGAATGAAATAGCATAAAGGTGAACGTGATGTGGTGTTGGACAAAATATTTCATTTCACGGCCATTTAACGATTTTGCATGTCTTAAAAAAAGTATATATTAGCATTACAAACTACTGTAATCTACCATAAAGCTACACAGTAATTGGGATTTCAACCCATGTTGCTTCTCTCAGGCTGAGGATGAAAGGACCGTATGCCAACTGTCCCAGCTCCAGCGTCCCGTCTGCGTCTCCATCCCCTGCAAGTAAGATAAAGAGCAGTCCTGCAGCTTCATGAAAGTCTTACTAACAGGAACAATGACGGTTCAACGCACCAAGAGTCAGCCAGTCTGTTTGTAGACAACAAGAGGAGAGGCAGGTTTACTTGGTTCACTATCACGTTGTTATCTTTGTGTGTTTAATCTTCCTCCTCTCGCAGGCTGAGTCTGCAGGATGTGCTCAATGACTACTACAGAGAGGCGTCAGAGCTCATAAGAAGTAAGGTCAGTAAAGATAACATTTATTTCCTCAGTATTTCATTGTGAGCATTTGGATTTGTTTTGCTTCCTTGTGTCCACCTGAGTATCCCAAAATGACTTTCTAATATGTCTCCTAACTTCTCTCATCATGTCTGCAGTGTGGGATGAACACAAATGTGCTTGCGAGCAAAGTTCATACCATCAGCAACCTTCTGTGTGGACTCTCATGTCAGGAGCTGGAGGATGCCATCGGCAGACTCAACAGAATCAGTCCCATAGCTCTGGTAGGATGTCTCAAAATTTTATGGAACCTTTCCTGCTGTCAGTAATCATACGCGGCTGTTGCAACACTTCTTATGCAGTTTATCTCATTTGTGTGATCGCCTCTGAAGTCTTATTTAGGCCTCTTTTTCTTCTTATAGAGTACCGTTTTACTTTAGCGAAACTATATCTGACCGCAAACACGCAGACAATTCCTCCTCATGCCTCTTGTTCAACAATACAAGCTGTGATTCTTTGTTTTTTTTACAGAGTCATGATGAGATGTATGACTGTGAGGCTGGTGAGTAGCTACAATGGCAGCGTGTGTGTGTGTGTGTGTGTCTGTGTGTGTGCGTGTGTGTGTGTGTGTGTGCGTGGAACGCTGGTTATATATTTTGTAGATTATTTTTGGCACCGTGTTTATTCGACAGTGACAGCAGAGATACAGATGAATGGAGGAAGGATTACGATCTGAGCTTTTTTTAGTTACAATATGCTCACACTGATGTTGGAATCAAGAACTAGCCTTAAAATATTTGGAGTTTGGCAAGAACCACCTGGCACTGAAGTGTCGCAAGACCTGTAATGTTCCCCCTGTTGAAAAAACACAGTGTGGTGTGTACACAACTCTGTGCTGACAAACCCACAAGGCAATGATGTGTATTCTATCGATGCAAAACTACAATTAAAGGACACAACAGATATCACTGATGCAGTCATGTATACTAATGATGTTGAGTAAGTGTCCCAAATCTGCAGTTACTTTCAAGCAGAGTGGCAGTTACATAGAAAGTAGTGAGTGTGTGGACCGTGAGTGTTGCTTTTTTCTGTACAGTAACATCTGATGTTTATCGTCTGTACTCTAGCTGTGATCATGCTCCACGGGGCGCTGCTTAAAGTGCTGCAGATATTCTTTGACAACTTCCAGTCGGACTTCAGAGGCGAGAAGATAACCGGCAGCCCGCAAACCTGTGACGTGGAGAACAACGGTGACATTTTTCAGTTCAATATCGCTGCTGTCTACAAACTACAGCCCTCCTGGATAACCACGTATGTGTGCATTTACAGCCTCACACATTTCTGCTCACATGGACGCAAATGGTTAATGCCATCCTTTATATGAACGCTGTGTTTGTTCTGGTTTGTCTTTCTTCTTCATCATGTGTAGCTACGAGTCCTTCTCTGTTTCCTGTGAGCTGACATATGGAGGAGCAAAGATCGGCGACATCGGCGTTTCTGAAAATATCAGCACCGCATTGTCACTTGGAAACAAAATCCAGTGCTACCGCAAGTAAGGCCAAGGTCATCTCCCCTCTCCTAAAAGTAGTTGTATCTCATCCAACTTCCTCTTTCCTCATTCACATAATGGTTACATTGTCACAGAAAACAACTGAACATATCCTTCCTGCTTTGAGTGTTTATCAGCTGCAGGCTGTTTTCTTTTTTTCTGTTTTAATCTACGTTCATATCAGAAAAGCCTCTGGTCCAAGTTGCAATATCCTCAGAGGATTAAAAGCAAATATTTAAATGATCAAATGGAAATAAATAGCAGTGGAAAAAGAAGATATATTTATGTCTCTGTGTGTATGTTTTTGCGTATTAGGATGGTGTTCCCTGTTCCAGTTAATCAGCTGCCATACGAGTGCATGCTGACATTTCGCCTCAAAGGCTCCAAACGAGGCAAAAACCCCGAGTTATTACGTTGGGCTGTGCTACCTCTGTACAACGACAGGTAGGTTGTCCACAAAGTGTCACCTTGATAACATCTCTTCAAGTTTTTTAACATGCACAGCAAATGACTTCAGTTCCAGTTTGAATGACTCACAGGCACCATGTATAAAATCAGTGGTTTGTCTGACATACAGGTGAAACCAGACGTTTACATACACTGTGTAAAAAGACGTAAAACCTTTTTTTCTTGCTGTCTGACATTAAATCTGACTAAACTTTTCCTGTTTTAGGTCAGTTAGGATTACCAGAATTATTTCTATTTGCTAAATGCCAGAAAAATGAGAGAAAGAATTTTGTATTCCTTTCTTCAAAGTCAGAAGTTTACATACACCTAGATTACTATGCCATCAAACTATTTGGGAAAGCTCAGATGATGATGTCATGACTTTAGAAGCTTTTGATAGGTTAAATGACAACATATGAGTTATTTGGAGGCACACCTGTGGATGTATTTTAAGCCACACCTCAAACACACTGCTTCCTTTTGTGACAACATGGAAAATCTAAAGAAATCAGCCAAGATATCAGGAAGAGAATTATGGACCTCCACAAGTCTGATTCATCCTTGGGTACAATTTCCAGATTCCTGAAGGTCCCACGTTCATCGGTTCCAACAATTATACGGCTACTCAGAGAGGAAGAAGACATTACTCCAAAAGCAACATAAAAAAGCCTGATTACAGTTTACAAATGCACACAGCGACAAAGACCTTTTTGGAGACATGTCCTGTGGTCTGATGAAACTAAAATTGAACTGTTTGGCCATAATGACCATCGTTACATTTGGAGGAAAAAGGGGGAAGCTTACAAGCCTGAGAACACCATCCCAACTGTGAAGTACGGGGGGGGCAGCATCATGTTTGTTGTGTTTTGCTGCAGGAGGGACTGGTGCACTTCACAAAATAGATGGCATCATGAGGAAAGAACATTGTGTGGAAATACTGAAGCAACATCTCAAGATATCAGCCAGGAAGTTATAGCTTGGGCATAAATGGGTCTTCCAAATGGACAATAACTCTAAGCATACCACCAGATTAATTGCAAAGAGGCTTTAGGACAACAAAGTCAATGTTTTGGAGTGGCCATCACAAAGACCTGATCTCAATCCTGTAGAAAGTTTGTGGGCTGAGCTGAAAAGGTGTGTGGAGCAAGGCAGCTAACAAACCTGACTCAGTCATACCAGTTCTGTCAGGAGGAAGGAAACCCAAAACATTTAACCTAAGTCACACAGTTTAAAGGAAGTGCTACCAGACACTAAGGAAAGGTATGTAGACTTCTGACTTTAACCCTGACTATAAAACAATTCTCAAAAAAAATTCTCTCTCTCATTATTCTGACATTTAGCAAATACAAATAATTTCAGTAATCCTAATTAACCTAAAATGGGAAAAGTTTAGTCTGATTTTATGTCAGACAGTGAGACAAAAAAAAGGTTTTATGTCTTTTTATAGTGTATGTAAACTTCTGGTTTCAGCTGTATGTACAGAAGTATCAGGATGGTGAATGAAGGATTCTGGGCTTAAAGGCATATTTTTGAGCTTCTTAACTTAGTACAAGTATGGAATAACAAGTGATATATATTGTGTATTCTCTGTGTGTTTAGGACTCTCGTAAGAGGGACTGTCCTGCTCAGTATGTCCACTCTGGCTGAGCTGCCTCTTCCTCCCTCCCCCGCGCTGTTTGACAGCCACAAACAAGCAGTTGGGGTCATAATGCAGGTCAGTTATCCTGGGCAACTCTCCCCCCTGTTGACCAAAACACAAATAAAACCGCATTTCCTGTTCAATCATTCATCCTCCTCCCTTCCTCCAGCTTGAGTTTCAGGATCAGTTTGAGTGGGTGTATCAGAGGCCCATCGCGCTCCCCGGATCAGTCATCTTCTCTCAGCCTTGTGACGAACTGCAGAGGAAAGTGTTGGATGTTTCTAAGAAGCATTGCCTCTGCTTGTGAGTATAATGAGATGGTCCATAATTTAAATATGTTTTGCTTCACAGTCCCAAAGTGTCTTCATCAGCAAGTGCAAACTGTATGTTGACCATAAAAATTAAATCTGATCACGTGAAGTGCTTTTTTATTTAAATTCTTCACGGTTGCTGTTATCATTTTTGCTTACTTTTTGTACCCACAACTATCTCTCCCTCACCAGTCTAACAGAGAATGAGAAGTCTTTACTGTGGAGTAAACGTTACAACGCTGACAAGGGAAGCACTTTCCTCCATCTGCTGCTGGGTGGAGCCCCCCGGTGGCAGCCTGAAGACCTGACGGAGATCTACACTATTGTAGAGAACTGGCCCATCCATCTACCTGAGGAGGCTCTTTTCCTGCTCAGCACCAGGTAGATTATAACGAGTTCGCATACAGGGATATGGACACAGTCAATGTGCAGAACTGCATAAACAGAAGTACAGCATATGGAGAAACACTTGTTTTGTTGTTGTTGTACAACTGTGGTTACTGACATCTGCATCTTGTAAGTGGGTGATGCAAAGTATCAATATATATTTTTTAGTACATTCTTAAATACAGTATATATGAATAAAATATACAAATATTAAGAAACACACAAAAAATAAGTTATATAACAAAAAGATCTGTGAAGAATGATTAAGACAGGTAGATAAAGAGATGACAGCCAGGTACATCATAGCTACGTCCTGAAGGCAGCAGAGGGATGCATTAAAGTTATTAATGTAAATATTGCCTTTCTTTCTAACGCAAAGAATTTTCTTTGGGATTGATGAAGTTTTAAGTTATTTTATCTCGTGCTAAATTGTCTTTCACAAGCTGCTCTGAGCAACTCCTCGTTTCTCCACATCTACGACATGTGAAGAGTTCAAAGTTAGCAAAACACTTCGAGAAATATGCTGGCTTGAAATAAGAGCCAGCAACAGGCCGTACCCTTTATTTAGAGTGTTGTATTGCTTTGTTATGCATGTTAAAGTCTTTCAAAGCCTTCTTCGACAGAAAACACTTCTTCTTGCCTGAAACACCTGGTTTGAAGTCCAGGCTTTTCTTTGTTACTTATTTACATCACCATGTAACACATTTGCATAACACCTGTCCAGCAGCTAGTTTAGCACGCTCTCAACCTAACACTGAGCAGCTGCCTCGCAGCCTGCCATTATTTCCTCACTAGAGCTGCTTCTGCGAGGCCTAAAGCGCTGCCTGTACTCTTAGATCTGCTCCACATAACTAACGTTACCTTCTGGCCAGCTGGCCAATCAGAGAAGACTGGGCTTTTCAAGAGAGGAGCCATATATGTGTACTTTTATATATTCTAGTAGACCTCAAAAATTATAATTATTAATCAGTAAATGAGCATAATATGGAATATGGACTTTTTAATTTGAACTTACTCTGGATCTCTTGTGGTGACTTTGCCTCTCTGAGCTTAACGCCGGTCATCTTGGATAATTATTATCATGTCATATGTTGTTGAGTTGGTTGTCTTTCAGGCTGTGGCATTCTCTGACATATTATGCTGCTTCAGTGACACTGACACTATTTTCTCCAAGTACACTTCCATTTTAGTTTGGTCAGAGAATGAATCAAAACCTTGGACTTTGCATTTACTTTTATTGACAATGATGCTCTGATGTTTTCACATGTGCTACACTGTAGTAGGAAATGTTTCCACCTTTCCACATAAGCATAGATAGATAGATAGATAGATAGATAGATAGATAGATAGATAGATGTGTTTGTGTCTTCAGTTTGGAGTAAGAATATGGGTTTGGTGTTGAACAAACTGTTATGTGATATGATGCACATAAAAAAGTTCATGTCTGATAAGTTCTATCAGCCCAAAATGTCACATTTCTAATCGTCAGAGCAGAGTTACAGTGTGTCAATTAGTTTTTCTAATTAGAGACAGGTTTTCATTTCATTACATTTCCATTTTAATTTCCGTCCATCACCACAAAGTTGCCTCATGTAATTTTGAGCATTGGTGATGGAATATAATCTTTATGATACCAGAGATGAACTCCAGCTAAAACACTGGTCATCTAATGTTCATCGCTGCTCTCTCACGTGGTGGTACAGGCCCCGGTAACCAAGAGGTACATGTGTGATCGCTACCATGAAACAGGATTCAGTTAATCTTATTTGATGAGTTAATTCATCTCTTCCAGTTTTCATGATCAGACTGTACGGAAGGCTGCAGTTGAGTACTTTGAGCAGATACCAGATGGAGAGTTCGAGGAGTTTCTGCCACAGCTGGTCCAGGTAAACAAACTGACACTCACCAGTAACTAGTAAGTAATGGGGAGAATCATTCTCTTTCAAAGTTTTTATTTCAGCACCAAACCAAGCTGATGTTGAACTGGTCAGAGTTTACATTCAAGAGCAGGCGACCACTTTGCAGATTCCTCAGTACAGTAGGTGGATATGTTTAACCAGTCATGCTGTCCTGCAGGCTCTGAAGAGTGAGTGGAAAATTAATGGACCTCTGGTGATGCTTCTGTTGGAGAGATCGCTGAGGAACATACGGATCGCCCAGCAACTCTACTGGTGAGTCAGATGACTGACCGGTGGAGGGCACATTTGAATTTTGTATAAAACAGTTGTTTAGTCACTTAAAAGTCCTGATCTCTATATTAACTTAGATAAAAAATGAAAAACTTCGACAAGTCTGTTCTGCTCACTGCTGGTATACGTATTTATTTATGCTGCTTCAGTCTGTTTGACCTTCATCACAGATGTATGCAAGCATCGCAGCAGTTCAACATACATATTCGCTGCTTCAGTAATCCAATCAGAGAGACAGAATTAGTTTAAGAGATGAACAACATTGACAATAAATACATCACATTACATACATAGACACATTTCTACCTTTGTATTATAGTCTAATCCTATTCTAATCTTCAGTATGATTTTTTTCTATACCTACTAACATGGACTGAGTTGAGTTGCTCAGGTCGAGATGTTTCATTCACCAGCTGAACTCACGTCTGTGATTCTGGGTAACTGGATGGTTTAGACAGTGTATTTATGTTGAACCTCTATGATGTTTTTCCACATACATGATGAAGTGTTGTAGAAATACCCCTGCAGTAAGCAGCTTATTTAACTTGTGTTTTTCTGACACACCTGTGACATATTCAGGTACGAAGAAACCTTTTCAGGTTCATGAGATCTGTGTGTTAACATAATGAAAGTTTGCATTAAAGTTTGCGTGCCATTTTATTTACAAATCCAATGAATAATTTGAAATCCTGTAGTGATGATGCAAAAATGATTAATGTAAGTTAACACTGCTTGATGCAAAATGCTTCATGTCATTTTGTGTGTTTTCCTGCTCGTTGCAGCGTGTACGGGCAGCTTTTATAATTAATGTTTGAATGTGCTGGCAGGCTGCTGGAGGATGCCCACAATGACCCGTACTACCAGAACTGGTTCGGCAAAGTTCAGGCTGCCCTTCGGCACTGCTGTGGCCGAGCACTGAGGCAGGAGCTGGAGCATGAGACCCGCCTGGTGTACCTGCTCGTACAGGTGGCTGAGAAAGTACGCATCGTTGAGAAGGCTCGACGTAAGGTCTGTAAATAGTTCTCTCATTCTCATTCATGTCGTCCTTTAAACAGGCTCGTCCATTGTTATGATTGTGACTGCACAAGTAATGCATTTTATTTTGTCTGGGTTTTTTTTTACATTTTATTTGTCTGCAGAATGTTTTGAATAAAGAAAAGTTGAAGATTGAAGACTTCTTCAAAAATGGTATCAGTTGTTGTCTACCTCTGGATCCTGCAGTCCGAGTGAAGGCAGTGAACTTGGATGTAAGAACGTTACATAACACATCACACTTAGACATCTTAAATAATCTCTTATCTAACATACACAGGATACTGTGCTGTTTTGTGGGAGTGTTTACTCTTTGATATGTTACTTCCAGGCCTGCAAGGTATACAACTCCAATGCTGCTCCTCTGGGGATCTCATTCATCTGTACTGACCCTCTGGCCAAGAACGTCAGTGTCATCTGCAAGGTGGGTGATATTATTTATCGATCCGCGTTTGCTCGTTCCTTTCAAGGCAAACTCGGATAAAAACTACAGAAGAACCCTGTGACATGACTCTCAGTTATGTGTGTTGTTCAGACAGGAGATAACCTGCGTCAGGACATGCTGGTGCTTCAGATAGTCCGTGTGATGGACAGAGTGTGGCTCCAAGAGGGACTGGACCTGCAAATGATCACCTACAGGTGTCTCTCTACGGGCAGAGCTCAGGGTCAGTTTGATGTATTAGTTTTCATTCTTTAATGCACTTCAATTAATAGTTTACAAATTCATGTTGTTTTCTGTTTTATATTTTCTGTGGCTGTCAGGCCTGGTGGAGGTGGTGCCTGAGGCGGTGACCCTGGCCAAGATCCATCAGGAGTGGGGTCTGGGCGGAACCCTTCGAGAAGACACACTGGAGAAATGGTTCCACATGTGGAACAAAACTAAAGAGGACTATGAGAAGGTTAAGATTTTAACAAAGAAAATCTTTTCTCAAATGTACACTGACATTTTTTGTTGCGTTGTGTGATATTCTCTTGTTGTGCGTGTGCAGGCTGTGATGACCTTCATCCACTCGTGTGCAGGGTGGTGTGTGGCCACCTTCATCCTGGGCATCTGTGACCGCCACAACGACAACATCATGTTAAAACACAGTGGGCACATGTTCCACATTGACTTCGGCAAGATTATGGGCAACGCTCAGAAGTTTGGAAGCTTTAAAAGGCAAGTCAATAAAAAAAAGACGAGCAGCGCTTTGAAAATGGAAACAATGGTGTTCTTGTTTGAGCAGCAAGGAGATAGAGAAACATATGAATCAACAACAACCTTCCCCCACTCAATAATAGGGACCGATCACCCTTCATCTTTACATCTGAGATGCAGCACTTCATCACAGGCGGGGGACAGAAGCCTCAGCGCCTGCATCGCTTTGTGGAGCTCTGCTGTGAAGCTTACAACATAATCAGAAGGCGTTCTGCTCTGATACTCAGCTTGCTGGAGCTGGTAAGATTAAATAACACCACCACACTTATCTCCTGGCTATATCTGAGAACAGAAAAAGTTATGTGAAACACATTTTCATTCATGTTGTGAATTTCCAGATGCTACACGCGGGAATGCCAGAACTGAAGGACTCTAATGACCTGCAGTACGTCCAGAACAACCTCAGACCTCATGACACAGACCTGGAGGCCACCTCTTACTTTACAAAGTAATCCAACATGCGATTAAATACTGTTCATCTTCCTAACTTCGTGGTTGCATTTAATCTGGAGCTATAACAGCTTGTGTTGTTCCTTATGTAGGAAGATTAAGGAGAGCATGGACTGTGTTGCAGTCAAGTTTAACTTCCTAACACACAGCATGGCTCAAGGCAAGAAACAAGATACGGTAACCCGGGACGGCATCCCTGCTCCCAGCACCAACATCCAGGAAGCTGTCATTCAGGGATACAGCGTCAAAGGAAAAGATGTGGTGAGGCTGCGTGTCGCTCTCTGGGGTGTAGGGATTCAGTAAGTGCTGGCTGCGGTGTGGACGAAATGTCACGGAGAGATTTTGTCTGATGCAACACAGAGACTCGCGTTTGCTCCTAATAGTCAGGGGAGGAGATAGAACAGCTGGAACTGACAGCAGGTTCACAGCTTTCCGGTCAGAGAGGAATAACCCCTGGCACTCAGCTGACTCTGTGTGTTTACTGTCACTTACAGCCTCCGAGGCAGCAGCGCTGGGTTTAGAAGGTCTTTTCCTGGAGTGTTCCCGGTGTTTGCTAGCATTTCACTGCTCTTTGATCAGTTTTCTGATGCCAGGTGTAACTGTTTGGAGGCACATTAAAGCATCTTGTCATTCGAATCAGAAGAAGCACAGAGATTTGCCAGGTTACTTAGATCCAGCCTGTAGCAGAGTTTATGGCCAAAGATTCAGATGTCCACACAAAGGAGAAATAAAGGGGTTTCCATAAGATCAGTGTTTGTAACTACACTTATTACTATCTGGGAACTTAAACACTGTTAATAACATCTACTTTTGTGTGAATTTCAGATTTATGACCTGAGAATAACCATTCACGATGGTTTTCTAACCAGTGAGAAGACATTTGGGCAGTTTGAGCTGATCCACAAGCAGTTGCAGAAATACTTTATTGAATCAACACTGCCTCAGTAAGTTAAAAAAAACAAACACAACCTGCTAACATCACATTGTATTTTGAGGCACTGTTTATTTCCACAATAACAACATAACGTCTTCTCTCCTTGCTCCTTAAAGGTTTCCTTGCTGGTATCAGATGTCGTTCACACCGCGCAGGAAGATGTCCCTGCTGAATAAATACCTAAAACAGCTTTTTGAGGGTCCATGCAAAGGAGTACGTTTCTGTTGTTGTGTTCTCCGTCGCTGGTTGATTTCTCTCTGTGATCTCTTTACAAGTAATTCTAATTTTGCCTCACGTTGTCACCTGCAGAATGAATTTGTGTGCAGCTTGTTTCTGGATGGCCCCAGCCAAGTTCATGAAAGTGTGGTTACAGGTGAGAACAACAACCGAAGACTGTATTTTGATTATAAGGATATGCTTTGTGTGGAGGAAAATCTGATATTCGTTCATTTATAAGACATGCTGTGCTGTGTTTACTGGCTGTGATGTGTTGATCTGTCGCAGGAACCAGTCCTCAGATCCAGCTATACATTTCTTACTCTCACTTCAAGCTGTCTGTCCTGGTGAAACACCTGAAGAACATTGTGAGTTTCTTTTATCCTTAACAAAAGGAAAGTATACTCAGTAAATGTGCTCTTTGTCAAAAAAAAAAAAATTCTTTTGTGTGTCTCACAGAAGCAAGCAAACGGCTCTAACCCTGACGCCTACGTGGTGACGCGGCTGAGACCAGACCCTCTGCAGCGCTCCAAGAGAAAGACAAAGGTGGTTCGCAATAACGACAACCCCACCTTCAACGAACTGGTACGGCTTCCATCTTCTTTAACCCTCATCCAGGATTTAGCACAGTCATAGCATCCTCTGGGATTCATTTAGCTTAAAAGAAAGTAATGCTTTCATCATTTCATAATAGGCCAGTACTCAACACTCTAAGTCCCTGATGCACCTTTTACATACAGTGCTTAACAAATGTATTAGACCACCACCCAGTGTAAGGCTTATGCCACGGCTGCCCTAAATGAACAACATTGGTAATTACCAAAATCATTTCTTATGTTTCTGTAATGGTTAATACATCAGTATGTAGAAGCTCTTTAACCATGACTTAACTACACTATGGCACTTATCTAGATTGCTTTCTTCTGACTAGATCCTTGCTTGTGTTGTGTCCGCTCTCAGATGTATGTCGCTGTGGATGAAAGCTTCTGCTAAATGAAATTGTAGAGTTGTAACCAAAATGATATTTTTAATGCTAAAACATAAATATTACTGTTATCCATGAATTTTTAATTTCACTGTTTTACAACAAGAACAGAAAAAAGTAGTAAAGCACATTACTATGTCTTGATTAGGATGTCAAATTTTAGTTATTTATTTGCATTCCTGAATGTTTTAGTGATTGAATGTTATGCTTGATTAATTTCTGACTTCCCAGTGAGTCGGCTCAAATTTGGTTATAAAAAGATGAATTCAGTTTGAAACTCCTCATTCCTCTTAAAAATGGTGAGAGCTGAGTGCACATTAAAGCACTTCATGATGCTGGATGGTGTTTATATATGTGTAGTCTAATAAATTTGTTAAGCATTGTAAGTTTCAAAAATTTAGCTTTTTGTAAATAAAAGAACACTTACTATTCTGTACAATTCTATGTAAGGTAGAGTAATCTAGTGCAGTAAATAAAAATAAAATCAAAAAAGTAGGTTGTTATAGAACAACTGTTTTTTCAGTTCATATGCTGGACAGCCAAAATCTCAAATTCCTCAGCTTATGTATCCTTGATTTGGATTTAGACATCCATCCATTAGATGTAGTACAGATGACGCTTTCCTGCTTCACAGTGGCTTAACACAACTTAAAAAGCAATTATCGTTTCAGAAATGCTGGCATATTAGTCATCATATTGTCGTTAAGAGTTCTAAAAATTCACTCCAACTTTTTGTTTTTCTCATTTTTAATATGCGCTGTGCCTGCCGTGCCACTCTCTCTTCGCTGTGAGTGTCTAATATGATCTTTGAGTGCTGAACCCAGCGGACTCTTGACCAGCATCTTCCCACGCACTTGACAGCTTTTACTACCTTTAATGTTGCAAAGTGAAGCTTTAACAGAATCTAATGGATGTGACGGAGGGGAAAAAAAACATTCTTTTGCACGGTTTTAGTTAAAAGCCAAACAGTTTAGCAGAAATGTCCTGAAATTGCCTGTGAATGCCGAGCTGCTTGGTAATGAAAGTGTCTGCATCGTGCTCACAGCTGGAGTACAGCTACGTCCCGCTGCTGTATGGGATGGTGCTGGAAGTGACGGTGAAGAGCAAGAAGACTTTTGTGGCCGCAACCAACATTAAACTGGAAGAGGAGTTGCTTCAAAAGGAGACCTGGTTTCCACTCGGGAACTGTGCAATTTGAGCTGAGGGAGCCGCACTGTGGAGCTGCTGCCAGCAGGGGGAGCAACCACACCGAGGGAGAGAATCCATTCACAGATTCTCCAGACTCCTAACTGGGAGGCAAAATTCACCTGAGAGGAGGATCAGTGCACTGTACACTGAACAATGCATTTATGTCTATTTATCAGATGCAACCTGACCTCACTCCAGAGCTGAATACAGTGGCGGTGGATGGGATGTTTGGATGAAGTTACAAAGCCGACTAAAAGACGCAGGAGACTGTTAATTATAGGAAGCATCACTTAGCTGATCATTTTTAAATTTCTAAATGTTGATCAAGTGAAGGGAACTCTTAATTAGTGAGCTTTGTGGATGTTACTTTGGTGACGAACGAAGAAAAAAGACGGTATTATGTATCGTACTTGCACTTTTATTTGTATTTTGTCTTTGTTTTCTTAACCATGAGTCAAAACAGTCCTTGTAAATGTGTGCGTGGTCGAGACTGTTGATGTGACAGATTAAAGAGGAGGAGGTTGACACGGCGCTGTTTCAGAGCTACCTGCCCAGACTGAGCGTGTTTTGTCCCTTCGGGCTGTGTCAACTGGATGTCCTTGACCAGTGGAATTGGAGGCGGGAGGCATGGTGGGGGGGGCGGTGATGGGAGAGGGGGTGAGGAGGAGGAGGAGTGTGTGAGCAGGATGACAACGCTGCCTCTCTGGCCGGAGGGGCTGACTTAACACTCTCCCCCTCACTCCATCCTTTGTCTTATCCATCAGTGGCGTTCAGTTATGCACATGCATGCACAAACACGCAAAGGCAGACGGTCACGTGGCAACGCAAGCACCCCTGAAAAAACACCTACACACACTCGCACTCTGACTCGCTCTTTCTAGGCTGAGGAGAGGTCTTCATGTTATCTTAATGCTGTCCTCCTTCTGACAGGCCTGCTGACCCGTACTTTCCTCGGCCTCATTCATCGGATTTAGTGATGAACGAGGATAGAAATAGACTTCCCTGCACTGGATTTGGTTCAATAATGTATACCTCTGTGAATGCTATTTATATTATTACCTGCTGGGTCTCTCGCAGGGAAGTAGGATTTGAAGCAAATGCTGGCTGCTGCTCTTTACTAGTTGAATGTATTTTGGCATAAAAGCGTCAGTTTCAGCCCTAATAGAAGAGTGACAGCTGTTGTTTTGGAGCTGATGAACATGCAAGATTTTCATGTGTGATCAACTCCACCACAATAACTGCCAAAAAAATAAGAGGTTATTTTACTTCTCAGTTATCTACATTATTTCTCTATTACTTGAGTGAATGATTGTGTCGTTTCAGCCCCACTGGAACCTTCTGGTCTTTTCCTCTGCAGCGCACAGTGCAGGCGGCGGAGGAGAGGAGAAAAAAAGGCATATCTATTTTCTGACAATAAAACTGGTATTTATAACTGAGGAAATGGTGCTTTTTTTTGGGTTTATTTATATATTTTTTTGTTGTTGTTGTTGTTGCTGCATCAGCCACGCTCCTCTATCTGTTGGCGAGGCGCGTGTGTGCGTGAGAGGGAGTCTGATACGGAGAGCTGTTTTTAGGAATACCAGACAAAGACGAAAAGAGAGGCTGGATCCAGACTGCATCCGTCTCGAGACCGGAGAGGCACCCAGCGGTAGCCTGGAGGTGGAGAAGAAAGGAAGGCATGAACAGAAGAGGTAAGTATAGCTGCAAAAATACAGTACATGAGCGCCCTATAGATAGACGGGATCGTTTCCGCAAAAGCTCAACCTGCAGAGCAATGGACCCACCTTCAGTACTGCTGACACCGTGAGTGCACAGGAAATACAATGATGGTTCGCAATGTCACCTGATGTAATTTAGCTCTTGGTCTGACCCTCCCCACCCCCCTCGTCCCACCCATTGTCGCTTTTTCTGCCTCGTGGCTCACCTTTCTTTAGGCTGGTGAAGGGCAGCGTGTACTGGCCCACAAACTCGCTGGTGAGGAGGCCGGTCTGATCTTTGACACAGAAGCGGATGAGGCAGAGCTCAGGCACGCTGATGCTGAAGTTCATGTCAGCATCCCAGTGAGGACACAGAGCTGTAATCAGAATGAAAGGGGAAAAAAGTTGATTAGAATCAGCAGGGATCCTTGGATTTAGTTAAAGCGGCTGTAATAAATCTTTTTATATATATAAATGCAGGACTACTTGTATGTGGACAGAGCTGCTGGTAGAGATGAACCCATAGAAAACTAACTTTGTAGCTGCCTTGGTGTTATGGCAACGTTGCTGTTTTAGTTTAGCTTCACCTTCTATCAGCATGCACAAACTGCTTAGTACCATTTTCTATCACTGACACGGTGCTGTGTGTGTGATCTGACTGTTTCTGCTATAGCAAGAAAAAATAGCCAGTAGAACAGTAATAACACAGTAATAATAATTCCTAACAGTTGATTATAACTAAACAATAGTTTCTAATTGAAGTAGTGAAGTCGTGCTTCATATGATTTATTTTATAGACTAAAATGACAGTGAAAATGTTTCTTTATTGCAAACAAACAGTCTTTTATTTTGAAATGCTCTGTAGGTGCATTATAAAGACATGCAGCAGTGTTCTGTTGTGTTGCCTGTTCATGTGCAGCTCAGGGTTTGATGTCTATTTTGAAAAGGAAAGCACTTTTTTTCCCAAGTTTTCCCAAGGATGTGCTGTGCACAATAAATTCTGGTTTCAATAATTAAAAAGATCAATGGCAAATCATAAACATCAATCAAAGAAATGACCAGCAGGTGCTGCACAGTGCAAACCTCCCCATCAGCTGATTAGTACTGTCAGTGTTTATCACTACTGATTGTGTTGTGGCTCTGGTCAGTTAACGGAGACCAAATAAAGAACGACGAGAGCAAATGTTAGAGGCCACAGACACAACTTCAGCTGAATGCTAATGCAGACGTTAAAAAGTGTCAACAGGTTTGTCATATGAAGTTTATAGGTTGATATGATACTAACATTGTGTTTGCAGCTTTGGTTCCCTCAGATTTCTATATAAAATATTACATAAATGTATTTATTCAGAACTGTGGGCACAAGTTAAGCAAAAGCGTTTCTCCAAAAACTTGTTTTGGGAGTTATTATTCATATGTCACAGATAAGGCTTTCGTACTTATATGACTCATAGACTAAGCTCGTCTTTAGTCACGGTGCTGTGAAACGAAGCTACTGTACCTTCACAGCAGAGGACACGCTGAGGGAGAAGAGTTAGCGTTCACTTATACAGCTCATTGTTCAAAAACACCAGTCTAGTCATTCCAGTCACTCTGTAAAGCGTCGGTGTTTTTTTGCAGGTATAATTTTCATCAGGAGCACAGTTGACGCTGGCGTGAATGTCATTAGTTTTGCAAGTACTTGAATTTAAATTCCAACCTGCTAATACCGCTAAGAGGAGACATTATTCCAATTCATCCTGTGGGCGACTCGGTGTCGGCGAACATTTCCTCACACTCCATTCAGTAGTTAATTTAATAGTTGTTGAGATATTTCAGTCAGGACCAAAATGGTGACCAACAAGCTGGCATTGTTGTCTACACAGTTAATAAATAGACCCACAATAGCATCTTTGTTATCCTGTTGATGCTCGACAAGTGTTATTTAGGTCCAGTTGCCCTGAACAATTTGAAAAATGTTCACATTTGCTCAGGTTCTTCAGTTACGTCCAATTTTTCATCTAAATATGCATTCATCTCTATTCAGCTGTGACCTTATCTGTTTCATGAAATGATTTTTTATGATTTATGTCCCTGCATAAGCACCGTGTGCCCCCCAGGACTCTTGTCTCCTCTTCCTCTCCCTCTTTGTCTTATATGACAGAATATGTTCAGGATCCATGTGATGTTCAAAAGCACTGTAGACTAATTCATCCTGGGTGCAGCCATAGCAAGCCTCTTAGTCTGGTTTCCCTCTCCTTCTAACACACTTCCGTCATTGTTCTGCAGCATTCGACTTTTGCCACAACAGCACATTTTTAATGGAGGCAGCACTTTACACGGTGACCAACTTAAAGCAGAATAAGCTCACAAATCTCTCAAAAGCCTCTGATAGAATCTCAGCAATCTGTCATTCTTAATTTCTGATAAAGTACAATTTAAAAAAAGCACTCTTCAGTGAGTTAATTCTAACAAAATACAACTCAGGCAAACCTGACACAATGCAGCTGGACCAGTGGTGGTGTACGTTGGTGTGTGTTGTTGTATGAACGCAGCCGTCGTACAGTTTGTGTTGCAGCACTCACAATTGTTTTTGACGGTGTGTGTGCATTTTCTGCGGGAATCGGATGCAATCCCATGAGTCTCCACTCTAACAAATGGATCCAGTGGTTTACCATTCCTGCCGATGGGGAGGTTGGACCCACTGATCACCTGTAGACAGACAAACACACACACAGACAGGAGTCACTTACACCACAGACAAACAGTAAATATTTGTAAGAACAGACGAGAAATCAAGAGAGGCAGTGAGAGTCGAGAAGAGGAAAGAGGGCTGTAATTACACTAGTCTGGAGAAAGGCTGGCTTATCTGCAGTCCTCTCACACTGAGCCTTCCCTTCCCTCGGCCCTGATCAAAGACAAACCTGCATGTACTTATCACGACATGCCCCGCTTGGCACTGATGAAGCTTTACAGTGTCCGGCCCAAAATTACAGTCCCTTTTCCCCCCTCCGAAAGTCATGCTACAAAAACACTCTGCTCATTCGCAGTCACAACGGCCCCTTCTTGTGAGAGCATGCACAGGCACTTATCATTACATAAAGAGTTGTTATAGGAAAAACACATCGTTGCTTATAGCTGACAGTTTTATGCTAAATAGAGTCATGAAAGCTCAAGGGGGACGTATTGTTTTCCCGAACGGATGAATAATTTAACGTTGAAAAATTGAAAACCCGACCTTACCTAAGTTACAACACCGAACGCTACTTATAAATCTGATTCACCGAGTCGAGAGCTGAGTCAAGATAGTGGGATTTTCCCTCAAGTGATCAAATAATACAGAATGATGATGTGAATACATAAAGGTAGGGCGTTTTCCCTGGGCACCCCCAAAACAGAGAACACCACATTTATATTTCATGCATCGTGTGTGAATGTGTGTGTGTGTGTGTGTGTGTGCATATTCTATCAGAAGACAAGGTCTGATGTGCTTTTGTCTAACTTGTGAGAGTCTATACATCTTCATAAACTATCATCTGCAAAAAAAATAAAAAATTCCCTTATCAGATGTATAACAGAGCCAAAGCAACAGATTCAAGACACGGCTAGGTATAGTGCTTATAGAGCTTTTGTTAAGTTTGCGCCGCTCATCCTTTTTGTTTAGCCTAAAATTAGCAAATTAGCACCAAACACAAAGTACCCTTCTGTACAGTGTCAAGTGTTGCTTTAGCATCCGTCTATTAGTTTGCTCTGTGTTACACAAACAAGAGTCGTCTGCAAAGAAATGCGCTGTTATCATTATTTACATTGTCACAAAGTTCCAATGAATTGGGATGAACACAAAGCAGAGACGGATACTTCAACCTGTATGACTAAACTAGACGTTAAGTAAGAAGTTTGGTAAAGAAAAGCCTTTAATAAGTATTCTCACTTTATCTGACAGTAGTCTGAGTAACAGTGCATGATGTTCCCTCATCTACCCTCTGTGCAATTTTCTGCATAAGTTCCACATATTGTCTCTGCAGTACAAAGCCTCAGACACCTCTCAAGTCTCTGCACATGAAAGCAAATTGTCTCTGTAAGAGGACTTGGTGTATGACTGTTGTCTTTGTGGACACAATAGAAAGACTCTGTTCTGTTCCTTTCACCCTTTGCCATCTGGCGTCGACACTGTACATCACAGTGCTGCTGTTGCTGTCCCCCAAGACGCTTAAAATAATGGAAGAGGGATAATTTATTAATTGGACCCTGGGTCTAATTGCATTAGATCACCCCTGTCTCTCTTTTGCGTTTACTTTCTGAGGGAGATAATCTAATTAAACAGACACTCTCGGGGAGTTTTACATCATTGTTGGTTCACAGCATCCGGCAGGAAAGCGTTTATCTGCAGGCAAAGAGTAAGATGAGCTCCACAATGCCCTAGATTGTGAAGCATAGACACGCGCGTACGTGCACGTAAAGAACACACACCCACAGACAGTCCTGTAACATTACACCTTAATCCATAAATCCACCATGAGTGGATTATTCAGAGTTCAGTGCTCCATAGCTGTACCTTGAGCAGCAGGTTTGTGGGTTTGAGGCTGTGCTGGCTGCAGCTGGGATCAAAGCTCTTCTGACTGGACATGAGCGCTGCCGGCTTCAGGACGTATCCACAGCCTCCGTTGTCCTGGAAACGGCCATCATTAAGTTCCATAGGCAAGCCCAGAGATTGGAAATTGAGAGCCACTGCAAAACACCATGGGACAATCTTGGAACAGT